AGCTGAGTTCAGCCTTTTTTAAAGCCATTTTTCGCCCTCCTCAAGCTCCAGAGGGCGAAACACCTCCCCCCCCCCCCCGAGGCCCTCCATAGCGCAAAAAAACGGCCCTATGGGCAAACCGGAAGTTCGGGAACGGATTTCCGGTTTGTGCATAGGGGCAGTTTAAGCCCTCTGGAGCCTTCAGGGGCCTTCTGGAGACTTCCCTGAAGGCTCCCGAGGAAAACAAACAGCCCTACGAGCAAACCGGAAGTCACTTCATGCGCGCATTGCATTATGAGTGCCCATGCACGCACCCATCCGCATTCCCCCTGCTTATGGCACGCAAGCCAAAAAAGGTTTCCATCGCTGCCCTATAAGCTGGTATGGGGTTAAGTACACTTCTTGATGAACTGTGTAGTGATACAATGTAACTCACATAAGCATTTTGATAGCCCCCATTCAGATTAAGAGCTGCCATCTCAAATTCTGCACACTAGTCCTTTCCTCTAATTAGAGATTGAATTTACAGGTAGTCCTCGATTTTCAACAGCTCGTTTAGTGACTATTCAAATTTACAATGGCACTGAAAAAGTGATGATAGCCTTTCACAATTACAACTGCCGTAGCATCCCCCTGATCACGTGATCAAAATTCAGATGCGTGGCAACTGACTCATATTTATGACGGTTGCAGTGTCCCGGGGTCACATGATCTCCTTTTGCGACCTTCTGACAAGCAAAGTCAATGGGGAAGCCAGATTCACTTAAAATAACTGCAGTACTTTACTTAACAACTGTGTCAAGAAAGATCATAAAATGAGGCATAATTCCCCTAACAGTTATCTCACTTAACAACCTAAATTTTGGGCTAAATTGTGCTTGTAAGTCGAAGACTACCTGTACTTGATGCTTAGAAAGTGGGTTTCTAGTTATCACAACAGGAGAGAAACTGAATTTATTACACTGTACCTTTTCTTTTTACAAAAAACAACAACACCCTACCTAATAAACATTTATCATAGAAACTGGCATTTTGTTGAATTTCACAGCATGACCTTATGGAAAAAACAGGGTTAATGCTGCACCTGGCATATGATTCTTGGGTTTCCTATCGCTGCTCTAGAGTTAGCAAGTAATACAATTTATGATAAAGACTAAGCAAGTATGCAGAGCTCATTTCATAAGTACTGAGTGAACTCCCTTTTGATCTTCAGTTGCTATTCATTTTTACAAGAAAGGGGGAAAAGATTTCATGTGGTGAAAATCTTGCTCATAGAGGAAAAAATGGGATCTTTCTCTGATAGTTGGAAGATTGGTCCCCATTCAGAAATTATTTTCAGATATTTATTCTGTTGCAACAGCGTATAATAAACACGTAGGTGTCTACCTTAGAATTCTCATTCTTACTACTTGCAATCCTAATTTCCAAATTTTAAGATCAATGATGAAACTTAAATGTATGTTAATTTTGGAGTAAGCAACTCTGGATATAGTTTACTTGGCCTAAACAGCAATCTACCATATATTTGAAGGGAGTAAGATGATTGTATGCATGCTGCATCTGTCTGAAACTCCTTAATTTAGTAGAAAATGTGGGTTAGGAGAGCATCACCACCACATGATTTTGTAACAGGCTGACCAACCGCACTCAATGTGTAGTCCTCAAGGGAACTGCGTGTACATGGAGGGAAGTATGCAGTGGAATACTCCAAGGCTCTGTTTTAGGCCAAGTACTCTTCAACACCTTCATCAATGACTTGAACGAGGGGATAGAGGGGGAACTCATTAAATTTTCAGATGACACCAAGCTGGCAGGAATAGCCAACACTCCAGAAGACAGGCTTAAGATACAGAAGGACATTGACAGACTTGAATATTAAGCGCTAGCAAAATGAAATTCAATGGTGAAAAAAAGGTTCTATATTTAGGCAAGAAAAACAAAATGCACAGGTACAGTATATGTAATACCTTGCTCAATAGTAGTAACTGTGAGAGTCCTAGTGGACAACCATTTAAATATGAGTCAGCCGTGTGCAGCAGCTGCCAAAAAAGCCAACACAGTTCTAGGATGCAAGAACAGAGGGAATGAATCAAGATCATACCACTTTATAATGCCTTGGTAAGGCCACACTTGGAATACTGCATCCAGTTTTGGTCACCATGATATAAAAAAAGATGTGGAGACTCTAGAAAGAGTGCATAGAAGAGCAACAAAGATGATTAGGGGATTGGGGCTAAAACATGAAGAACAGTTGCAGGAATTGGGTATGTCTAGTTTAATGAAAAGAAGGACTAGGGGAGACATCATAGCAGCATTCCAATTTCTCAAGGGCTGTCACAAAGAAGAGAATCAAGCTATTCTCCAAAGCACCTGAGGGAAGGACAAGAAGCAATGGGAGGAAACTAATCAAGGAGAGAAGCAACTTAGAACAAAGAAGAAATTTCCTGACAGTTAGAACAATTAATCAGTGGAACAACTTGCCTCCAGAAATTGTGAATGCTCCAACACTGGAAGTTTTTAAGATGATGTTGGATAACCATTTGTCTGAAGTGGTGTAGGGTTTCCTGCCTAAACAGGGGGTTGCATTAGAAGACCTCCAAGGTCCCTTCCAACTGTTATTCTATTCTATTCTTATATTTTTCTCTGATTGCAGGTCAATCACAGAAAATATGCAGCTTTTTTTAAAAAAGAATTGCCTACAGTTGCAAGGTGAACAAACATTCCAAATAACATGTTTGGTTTTGAATCTGAATAAATATGCAAATAAGTCAGCTGTATATGATTTATAGCTGCACCAGTCATTTTCCAGACAAAAATTCTCATGATTTTAAACAACAATACATTAATATAATGTTTTCCCTATCTGCCCAATGATTTTGTGCATGTATTTCAAAACTGAACATCTCGGGAATTTGTTGTGGCACTTTGAGTGGAAAACATAAACTTGTAAAATAAATATATTTTCAAACCAGAGCTCTCAAATCAACATCACTCCCCACCCCCCAAACTAAGTTATTTATTGCATACCTGGGTACATGAGCAGACATATATGGTACAAGGGCTACCCTCTTCCCCTGCAGTACAGTGTTTTGGTTAATCTTCATAGTCTGAATCCTAAAACAACATAAGTGAGAAATAAAATCTGAGTACAAATAGTATTAGAATTAACTCAAGACATTTACTGAACGTTTTATTTGTATTACAGTATGCTTAATTAAAAATGTGTGAAATACAAAGCTATGTGTACCTATATGAGTAATAAGACAAAAGTATGTTTTAATAACCAATCTAATAATAGTTTATTCTCTATGGCTGCTACAAAAAGCAATTTATAATATTTCATTTCCATTTTGATTTTTTTCAACTAGTTATTTCAAAGTTAAACAAAATAAAGATTTGGAATCATGAACTAATATCTAGATAGGGCAGTGTCCACAGCATTCTTTGGAAAACAGTTTTAAAACTTACATACAATAACCGGATAGAACACATAAAAGAATGAATGTATCATTGGATGTTGATCACGGATATGGAATATGGAATTTTTTGGCCCAAAACTCTTCGAAGTGCCACATATTTCCATCCTTGTTTTATACTGTTGTTTTCCTATTTAGGGACTTTTCCCTACTTAGAAAGTTAAAAGCAAGCTGAAAAAGACTAAACTCATTTTCTTCTTCCCCCACCATATATGTACTAGTGTTTGATAAACAGGTCAGGCTGTTTTAAAGCCTCAGTAGGTTTGTCCTCTGATAAGCCAAGATCATAATCCTTTTTGAACCCTATGGGGTGTCAAAAGATATAGATATAACAAAGTTTGTTTTTTTAAAGCCGTCACACTTTTTCCTTACACAACAAATATCTACATCCTTACAGACAACATGTTGACTAAATGAGAGGGACAATAGTATAATTACTGGTATTTTCTAGGATGGAAAATGCCAATGCTTACGTAGCACTGATAAGTCACCAGTTAAATCAAGAATGGGAAGAGTATGAAGGTAATGTGGAGAACAACTGGAAGGCTGAGGGTTCATTAAAACCCACTATGAAGGGTTTTAGATGTAGAAAAAAAATAGGTTAGAAGGGGAAAAAAGATCAAACTAACTCTAAGCCTTAAGTTTGTATAGAACTTTGTAGCTCCTGGCTAAATAAGCTCCTCCAGCTTCTGATTTTGAATGCTGAAGAAGCAACATAAGAAGAGTAGTGAAGCTTTTGACCCATTTGTGTTGGACAATATTCTATGGGCATATGGGCAGCCAAGTAAACAAATCAATGGATCATCGAACAAATCAAACCAGACTTCTCACTCAAGGCACAAATTATGTGCCACCAAATCATTTTTGACTCCTAGTGACCACATAATTTTCTCCACGATCCCTCACTGATTCTTTAGTTTCCCACTGGATCCCTCATTGGCACCATAATGCTGGTCCACTCTGCTTTTTTTCCATCTTAGAGCTTTTTTCCAAAGTTCTGGGTCTTACATGTGTCTGAAGTAGGGTAACTGGAGCCTTTGGCATTTGCATCTCAGAGAATTATTTGCCCAAATATCCATTGTCCCCAAAGTGCTTTTTTTCCAAGAGGCAATTGGAGTTTCTGGTTTTTTCTTTGAAGACATTTGTTTCATTTCTCATCCAAGAAGCTTCTTCAGCTCTGACTGGATGGTTGGTGATGAACGTCAGAGCTGAAGAAGCTTCTTGGATGAAAAATGAAATGTCTTCAAAGAAAAAACCAGAAACTCCAATTGCCTCTTGAAAAAAAAGCACCTTTGGGACAACCATAACCTGGAAGACTGAGACTCTACAGACATCCAACGATCCATTGGTTTATTTCCCTGACTGTCCACAGAGTATCCTCCACCAAAATCTAAAGGCGTCAATACTCTTTCTAACCAGCTTTTTCAAAGTCCAACTTTTGCTTTCATGTAGTGTCACAGGGAAATGCCATGACTTGTACTATTCCGATTTTGTTGAGGTATAGATGTATCAGCTCAAATTATCCATCTCATCTTCACGGAGAAAATCTGTCTATGTGTTTGATGTTTCAATCAGAGTAAGAGAGTTGGAAGGGGACTTTGGAGGTCTTCTAGTCAAACCCTCTGCTCAAGCAGGAGACCCTATATACCATTTCAGACAAGCTCGCTAAGAGTCGGCGCTGACTTGATGGCGCATAATACATCAATCGATCGATCGATCAATCAATCGAGTCATACACTGGGCAATGTATGTTAGACTTGCGTGCTGATGACCGTATCTCTGAATATTTAGTTACAGAGAAAGAAATCGCCCCACTGAGTTCCGACAACCGCTCCCTCGAAGCCTAGCGTGGTTCGAGCTAGGCTTTTAATATCTACGCTCCTGAAGGAAAGAAGAGCAAAAGGCCAAAAGAGCTGACGAAAGGATACAAAGCCCATCCGCTCCGTCGCCCAAGCCAGCACCAACTGCCGCCCCATTTAAAAGCAACCGGCGACAAGCGCGCATCCCCCACCCCAATCTCTCAAATCCTCGATCTCCACGCTTGCGCAATCGAAGGCCCTCCTATCGTAACTGAACGCTACGGTAGCCGTAGAGCCTCAATCCGCCTCGCGAATCTCCTCCTCGATTGATGTAGGAAGCGTCTCGGACAGCTGTACAGTCGTGGTGGTTGAAGTGGGCCCCTTTTTTTGGCCGGCGTGGCGCATGCGCTGTCCGCGGCTTCGCTTCCCCGGGCGCAGCATGAAAGGAGCCGGCTTGGAGTTGCGGGTGAAGAAGCCTCTGCCTTGGGGTTTCTCTGGGCTTGTGGTTGTTACCGGTAAAGGCTTTTTTTTTTTTTTGAGAGAGAGAGATAAGGAAGGGCGTTTCGTGGTGGTTTGTAGGGAACGGCGGGAAGCGGCACGGCGAAGCAGCAGCCCTGGGAGGCAGAATGGGAAGAGGAAGCCGCGGCTGGGCGAGTTTAAGGGACGTGGCATGCCCGGAGCAGCTCCGTCAGAGGTTTCCTTTGGCTTTCTAACAGCAGGGACTGCAACCCCGAAATGCTTTTCCAAAGGGACCCGTGTAGGATGATGCCTAAAGTATCCTGAAACCAGCTTTGGGCGTTTCCGTGGCATTGTTAAAACGAGGGGGTGACTTCGTGTTAGGACAGTCGTCAGCATCGTTTGAGGGGCTGACACGCGTGTGCACGGGCGGCTCTGTGTTTACACTTGGTGAAAAGATCGGCCCCGGCGTACTTGATCGCCAATTACGCCGAAGGATGTAATCTAGAAAAAGGTGTGCAATACTGTATAATAAGCAAATTGTGCAATACTGTATAATAAGCGAATAGTAAGCAAAGGGACTAAGATACTAGTTAGTCACATCTTTATGCTTATTGGTTTTCCGAAACCATATTCTATAATCTGAACTGCATTCCTAAAGTTAGATTTTATATATCTATAAAATCCATCCATCCATCCATCCATCCATCCATCCATCCATCCATCCATCCATCCATCCATCTATCTATCTATCTATCTATCTATATTTATAATCCTACCTACCTACCTATCTAAAAGAAGAGACAGACATTGCGATCTTGGGAACTTAAAATGTATTACCCACTTAGCTTTTGTTAGCCTCTGCCCACATCAGATTGTAAAAACTACTATTGATGAGATATCTACCTTTATACATCATATATATATCCCAGTAAGGGTATGGCTAGCTGATGAGAGCTAAATAGCTTGAAATAGATCTATACTAGTCTCCCTTTATTTATTTATCAGCACAAATAAAAACACACACACACACACACACACACACACACACACACACACACACACACACACACACACATATATAGTATTTGTGCTGATAAATAAATAAAGG